AAAAATGTTACAGTAAAATAAAGAGAGGAAAAAAGGGAAAAAAAACCTGCTGATCTGAATTCCAGTTGTGGGCAAGGCTAGATAATGTTTTGACAAGAGTCCAAGCTTTCAATAAAGTATGCATATTTCTCCTTCTCCTGCACAAGGCTTCAGAGAGCTGTTCCTTAAGGAAACAAAACCATGAATACTGACAGTAACCATTACCAATATCCTCTATTAACATCAGTATTGTGGAACCTTCCTCTCCTCAAACTGCTTAATTTAAAATGAAAGCGTACTGTTGGGTTTGGGGTTTTTTCATTTGTGCTGAGATTGAGCCTAACTAATTTTGGTATCCTGAACATATATTAAGACAAAAAGGAACACTTTTCTGAAAACTGTATTGGGATAGGCCTTTTAATATGATTCTATTTGATAATGACTAATTATGATATTTTTATAATTAATATTGATTATGATATTTGATAATGAATAATTCATTTAATATGAAAGGCTACTAATTTCGCCTTTTGCCTCTCCAGAAAGTAAAAAAAAAAAGAAATAAAATAGTATAGGGATTCTTCTTTGCATTCCCCAGTAAAAATCCAAGTCTTCAGGTATTTTGGACCCTTTTCTGCTGCAATGTAATGAACAGGGGCAATCTAGATGAATTCCCCATCTGAGCTGCAGCAATCTTCATCCACTGTGGTCCTCTTACTGCCTTCCCCAGAAACAGACTCCGTTATAAAGTTATTTACTTCAGACCTTGGGAGATGTGCAGGGCCACTAAAAGCTGAGCTATTGACAATGATTACAGGACTGCTTGGACAGTAGAGTATGAAAGAGCAGCAAAAGATCTTTTAATTTTTCATTTCCAGGAAAATTTTCCAGAGCTTATCCGTAGCCATTTCTCTGTATGCCTTATAAAAACTAACACCCAAGCAAAGGGAAAATAAGGAAGAAAGGTCTTATCACACGAACTAGACAGTTCTCCACTCAAGAGGTAGTTAGAAAGGTCTTATCACACAAACTAGACAGTTCTCCACTCAAGAGGTAGTTGGTAGGTGATTTCAAAAGCTATTGCCCTGCAAAAAAATTATTTAAGAGAAAAATTTAAATCCTCCAAGCTCCATTAAAGATGGAACTTGGAAATGTATTTACCATGCCTACCACATTTATATTTATTAAATCAATAATAAAGCTTAGATTCATATACAGAAGATGTTTTTTCTGCCAGTCTATTATATTCAAAGTTGTGAACCAAAAAATTTTGTAAGAACTAAAAAATAAATTAATTTCCTTTTAAAATGTTAGTCCTCTGCAAGTTTCAAATAATGCAAAACTATATCCAGCTTGGAAAGTGCCCCGAGCTGAAAATGGAAGCTAGAAGAGTAGGGAAAAATATCATAACTAAATTAAAAACATAGGTAAAACAAGAACAAAACATAATTTTTTATTTATCTACTTCAAGCAAGAAGTTAAAGCACTGTATCTCAACCAGACAAAAAGCTGCTTGAAACAAGAGTTCATTTTAAGGTCTTATTTAATCTTATTTATAAAGTGTTGCTAAGTGGGTTTTTATATGCTAAGAGTGTGCAATGTGAAGCACTGTATAAACAAAAACTGCAGCACTAGCTGCTTAGGAAGGGTGAAAGACTGCTCTCAGTCCAGCACTCATGATAAAATCCTTCCCAACTTATCCCAGAACAAGTAGTTTTGCTGTCAAAATGCAGAAAACTAATCAAACAGGAAGGTGCATGAAGGTTTCAATATCCCTTCCTAAAAATTAAAGTAGTGATTCATTTAAAGGCTAAACCATCTTGCAGTATTTACCACAAGGCATTTGACAGTATTTTGTACTACTGTCATATCAGGCTTATCATTAATATGTAAACCCAGAAAGACATCAGTAAGTATTAAATCCAACTAACTCTGATCTGTTAATCATGGCTACATCACAAATCTTTTTCTGTAGGGATCACTACAGTGCTCTCCAATTACGCAAAGAAAACCCCAAAATCAACAGATATTGATGAGCTAAATAACTGTTTAAATCTATAACTTAAAATTAGTCATTAAATAAAAAATTATAATTCAGATTTTTAAAGTATTTCTAAACATTTTCAATTTTCTTATTAAGTCCTCTGACCAGCAGAGCTGTCAAGAAGCGATCCAGGTAAAGGAGCAAGTTAAATATTTACTTGAAAAAGCATATCCCTAAGGAAGACAAAAACCAAAATGAGACTGGTGAAGCAATGAAGAGTTAAATACAACCCCCATCATTGTTTGTACCCTCTGCTTGCAAGCCCAGTGTGCATTTGGGAACTGCCCTAGGACACAAATTAAATAACAGTAGGAAATAGAGTCTCACTCACAAACATCTGCTCAGCGTCTGACAAAAACACAGTACACAAAGCAACACAGATATGGGGAAAAAGCACTTTTGTGCAAGAGACTGGCTTTAGTGCATTCTTCAGGAATTAAAACCACATAAAATACACCCTCCAGCTGTGCTAACTTGCTCCTACCTAATAGTTAAAATGACCTGGTATGAACAAAGAAGAGTCCTAGAAGAAAAAAACAGGCAAATATGAGAATTGGGCCATAAAACAGATGTCCTCACCCAGGTCCAGTGCGAATACCACATTGTGGCACATGCACAAGGGCAACTCAGGCACACCTTTCCACCCTGGTGAAAGCAAATTATGTCACAGGTGCTCAGCTGCTCCATCTACACCTGTATGAAATCTAACCTTCTCAGAGTTTTGTTCTGCTGATCCTACATAGGTCTAACACAGCCTCAGGATATGGAGCCTCCTCCTCCCGTAGGAGCTGAGATCCTCTTCTGCTGTGGCACCTGCTCTCATGCACCGAATCTTCACTTCTTTGAAACTTCTTCCTTTTCATAAAATGCAACTGCAATTGCCCAGGGATCAAGTTATTAAAGAGAAAACAGATTTGGATATTGTTCTCACTTAAGCTTTGCTTCCTCAGTAACACAGACAAAAAATTCTAGCTTTTGGCTTTGCCACTTGGTAAATCATACTCTGAAATGTGGCAGAGCTTTACTGCCCTTCTGCCAGTCTGGAAAAGACAGGTACTAATTAAGTGTCTCTACAGTCATGTAAAGCAAGAATCAGGAGATAAGTTTTGCACTGAAAGCAAACACACACCAGCAAAGCCTTGCTGTTTCTCAGCACCCATCTCCATTTCCTTCACTGCAAGTAAAATCTGAAAAAGAAAATTACACTATCTAACCCTAGCCATATCTAATGCTCTGTAACTCCTGCATTTTGGTTTTAGGATTCAAATTCCTAAGCCCCTTTAAATATAAACATTTCCAAATGGTTTAAGAGACTGTCAGAACCTCCAGTTCCCTTGGAAAATGTGCAAGACAGGAGTGGCTTTCCTTTGCCAGCCAAAAGAGATTTGAGCAAGCCTGTGCACTGTAGATTCAGCAAAATGATTCACCTGAAACTGAACCAGAGAGAAAAGCAGTTTGTTTGGTTTAAGCTTGCAAATTTCTGTAGTGAAAAGCTCAGGCACAAGGCATTAACATTTGTGAAACTGAACCTCATGATTGTCCTGGACCTAAATCAAGCAGCTGTAAACGGCTATTTTTAACTCTGAAAATTAATCCACATCGTCTTTACTGTCACAAAAGAGCGGCCTGACTTCCAAACAGGCGGGCAGAAGAAAATAAGAGGTTAAGTGTTTTAACTCACTGGCAAAACTTCCATTTCACTAGTGATACATTGACAGCATGCAATCTACCAAGCCACAGTTCATGTTCTGTGCACTTCGTGGACAGGTAGGATAAGATCCAACTTAAAAAAGGCAACAGTGCAGAAAGCAGTATTATCAAATGGAAAGGGTCAATAGTTCAGGAAAAAAAATATTTTCATAAAATAAATACCGAATGTGGTAATGCAGCTTCTTAAATTCCACAGAAAATACTGATTTTGAAAATACCTGACAATTTTTTCACATATATAAGCTACCATTAAAACTTCTCACTTTATAATATTCAAAACAGCCTCGTTTGCTTTTCAGTAAGAACTACACTGTTAAACGACATTAATTCTCCAAAGCATTGTTTATTTGAATTCAGTTGCTGCTGTCTTTGAACCAAAAGTTTGGCCCGAATTCCCTACGCTACAACGTCAGCGCAGCCTAACACATCATTCTCGCCGGAGTTATTCACGGATCCACACTGCTGCGAGGGTACAGCGTGAATAACTCCGTGCATATCCTTCGCTACACGTATCTGGAGTGCCACATGGATATAACGTGCCCAATCTACAGCCACCATAACCCGGAGCAGAATTAATGCAAAAAGTAAGACAGAATGCACTTTACACAACAGTGAATTCACAACCCCCGCCCCGTAATGTCATGTATCGCCCAAAAGCCAGGAGTCCTATGTGTACTTCTACAGCTCTCGTTACAGAAAGGGGAGGCGAGCGGCAGGTCGCGGACGGTCCCGGAGGGGCACGAGTACCACATCCCGCTGTGTGCCCCGGCACCATCCCTGCACCTCTCACGCCGGCCCCAGGGACCTCCGCCGCGCCCCGCGGGCTGCAGCCCCGGGCGGCTCTCCCCGGCCGCATCCTCCGGCCACGGGCACCGGCTCCGCGCCCGCCCTCAGTCACGCCGAGGAACCCATCGGGAGGGGAGAGCGGGGAAGTAACAATAAAAGTGGCTTCAGCGGTGCTCAAGGCTACAGAAACGCGAAGCTGCTCCCCAAGCAGCTGGAGGGGAGCCGGGGCGGCCCGCACCTCCCGGCCGGCGGCTGCCTCCGCACCGCCCGCGGCGGGGGACCCGCGGCGCCCCCGCTATCGCCGAGCCGGGCCACTCGTGCCCGGCCCGAACAAAGAGGCCGCTCCCGCTTCCCGCAGCCCGACCCGCCGGCGGGTGCCCCGGCGCGGCCAAGTTCCCGTGGGGCAGACGCAGGGGGAATCTGCCACTCGGCCCGGCCTGGCCCGGCCCGGCGCCCCGGCGACCCCCGCGCCCGCAGGTACCCGTGAAGCGGCCGCCACCGTCTCCGTGGCCCCGACGCCGCTGCAGGATGAAGTAGCCGCTGCTCTTCTGCGTGACCCACAGCTTGAGGGCGTTCTTCAGCAGCACCTCCTCGGGCTTCAGCCACATCTTCCCCCGGCTCGAAGTCCCGCTCTGTGCCCCCTCCGAGCCCGCCTGCCCCGCACGGCACCGCACCCGGCCGCCCGGGTCACATCGCCCCCCGCGGGCTGCGCGGCGCCGGCTCCGGCTCCCTCGGCGCGGGCCCGGCCGCCGGGGAGGGGCCGGGGGAGGAGCCCGGGCACGGGCCGGCCTTCCCGCGGAGCCGGGGGCTTTGTGCGGCGGGGTTCTGCTGCTCCGCGCCGTCAGGGGGGACGGCGGGGCGCTCCGGCCGGAGGGAGGGAGGGCCAGGTTCGCCCTTTCGGGGGTCCCGTGGCGCCCCGAGCCCCACACAGAGCCCGCTGGGGCCGCCGCGGTACCGCGGGGTCCTGGAGGATGCCGTGCCGCCGGGACCGCAGCCGGGCCGCTCCCGCCGTGTTCTCCAGCGGCTGGGGCAGTCCCGCACCCCGGCGTGCGCCCCGCGGGTCCCCCCGCGGAGCCGTCGGCAGTGCGGGAAGGAAAGGGTGTCCTGGCTTGGAGAGAGCTTGGGGGGATGGGGGTGTCTCTGCCTTCCTGTTTCCTTCTAGATCTAAGCCTAAAGCGTGAACCCGCAGCTGCTTTAGTATTTAAAGGCCGATGCTTGAAACCTCGTATCTGACTGAAAAGTCAGAATCTAAATTTTACAGTTCGGGTTTTTTTCTCATTTTAAGAAATAATCTGTCACTGCTTGTGGTTGAGCTACTGACAGGACCGTTTGTGAACCTGCACAATGGTTACTGCTGCAGCACGTTACGTTTCAAAACCTCTGACACTGTATTTTACATTTTTATTAGCACAGGTTGTCATTAATGAGGGCGGTGAGACACTAGTACAGGTTGCTCAGAGAAGCTGAGGGTGCCTCATCCCTGCAAGTGCTCAAGGGTAGGTTGGATGGAGCTCTGAACACGATCTAATAGATGTCCCTGCCCATGGGAGGGGGGTTGGAACTAGATCTTTAAGGTCCCTCACAACACAACTCTTTCTATTATTCTATGATTAAAATATGAGCGCTGTACTTACTTTCTGTCACATTCCTTTTCCAGTTAACTGCAAATATTGAATAATTACTTTACAACAACTGAATTAGCAGCCTGCAAAACCTCACTCTTCTAGATTAAAGACCTCAGTCCCTGTGGGTTAAATCACACCTAAATTTCAGCCAAGATGCCTCTAAGTAGAGAATTTCCATTAGGGATAAAGACCTGAGCTTCACTTCCCCAACCTCTGCCTATGGTTACAAGAGTTGTGTACAGCTCTTTGAAAGGTACCAGTGCTGCAGTGCGCTACTGAGCACAGCCAGCAGTAATTATTAGCTGGGAATTGGAAGGTGGCCATGTGCACTGCTTTTGAGTTGCTAGTGGGATCATTTAATAGTCAAAATTCTGTATTCAGCTGCAATCTGGTAAACACTGTGTGATCTGTGTTCTTTACAATTTCTGTGTAAAGCAACAATTTCATTTCCATACATAGAATAGCAAGCAAGCACTTTGTCTGATATAAAAATAAAACTGTCAAAAGGAGAAGATGGACATCGACATAATAATGTATTAAAAATTAATGAGAACTTAAGGAGAAATTACTTTAAATGCTCTTGCAGGATAACAATAGCTCAGAGATTTCTCCTGCCCCCAAAACTATCCCGAAGATTTGTAAGTATTGAAAGTTTAAATGCTTGGAAGTGAGTGAGTGAAGTGAGATGGTGAATATTTCTTCCCTTTGCAGATACTTAAATATTCATTTCGGTTATTGGTTTTGGGGCTTTTTTTACGTTCAGTCTTGGGTTTTGGGCAGCTGATTTGAGACATAATTTAGAAGAGAACCAAACAAGTTGCTGACCTTTGACTTCCTTTTGAGCTTGAGAGTTAGCAAAAGAGAAAAGCAGTTGAGGATCCAGTGTCATGCATACCTGCCTGTGTTACTTACACCCTGAGACAAGCTTCTCTTGGGCCCCACCAAGAGTACTCCTTCAGAGCCATGGGCTTTGGAACCACATCCAAGTTGGCCCAGCAGCTGTTCAATCAAAATGGGAGTGCTCATGCTTTTTAAGCAGCTTTTCCAACACATAGAACTGGCGGCAGATAATTAGCAATGAATCTCTGAGAAATGGCTTCAGAGAAGCAAAAAGGGGATGGATGAGAGAAAACTCACTCAGGATGACAAGAGTAAAACAAAGCATTTTGTAATATATACTGTAATAAATGCATCTACTAAATGCATCTACTTCTTTCCCAATATGGCATTGCATGTGGCAGTCCCTGACATCCTGAGGCACAGCTTCTACCTGAAAACTGGACAGTCTTTGGCAACAGCTAAGAGTAAGTTTATTTCATGAAGAAAGCCCTACAGTAATGTACTGATTATTTTCACAACCAGTATTTGAACAGGATTTGGATGATCTGAGGATCTTCCAAAGTCTCCTGTAAAGCAATAGTTTTAAAATGGTGATGTCTAGAGAGGTACATAGAACCAGGGAGGATGGGAATCTAGTAGATTATGAGACAAAAATCAGAGTACCCTGAGAAGTTATATACCTTTTTATTTATTCTCTGATAAAGTCTAGAAAAGATAGGGCTATCTTATGCATTTTCTTGAAGGTACTTAAGGTCACTAGACTGAAGAAAAAGAGCTTTAAAAAATAAAGATGTATTTGAAAGGAAAGAACAGAAAGAAAATGAGGTTTCTGGCCTTATACCACCCTTAGCACACACTCTGAAATGACTGTGTTTGTGTTATTTATGATGCTATGTATCTTTCTTAAATTTCAGTACTAGTAGCACAAGGCAGTCTGCCATTCAGATTATGTTGGAGCATCAGTCATACCCAGAATAAACTGCAGAGATCCTGAGCATCCATGAAATAGACAGCATAGGGAACACTCACAGGGAAAACTTTGCTTTTCCTTCTTACCTTTGTCACTGGCTGCCTTCCCAGCACTAGTCATGCCCTTTAACTTCACACGACTTCACCTTTTTCATCTATCAAACAGATATATAATTTTTATTCCGGTTGTCGCTGAGGTGCTCAAGGAAGGCAAATTCCTCCTGTGCATAAAATGAATGATGGCAGGAAAGAGGCAGCCGTGGTGCTCAGGCCTCCTGCCTGGCTGGCCCTCTGCAGAGGGTACCAAACCTTCAGAGGAGGCTGGCAACACTTGAACAAACTTGGGAGACTGTGAGTGTGCAGTGCTCCAGGATAGGCTCCAGGGCTTGCAGGTGCATGATTGCAGCTGATGCACATATGGGCTGCCACAAAAACAGGCTGTCCATGCTCCCTCCCTGACTCCTGTCAGACTTAGTGGTGAATGGCTTTAACTGGTTAAACTAGTTGAAAACTTAAATTTATTAATGTGTTTTTGACTAAGTTAGTTCCTTAGTCATATTGTGACTGCTGGAATTTGGTTATAATTCTGCAGGTGCACAGTCCAATCATTTCCATGTGTCCAGTTTTGATTCTTTAACTTGTATGTTTATTAGTGTCTGAAAACCCCTGATCAGTGAGCTGATTCAATTCCCAAGACAGAGTTGCTGAAACTGTCAGATGATCCTGAGTTTGGACATAGAGACAGCAGTTAGTGCAGAGAAATAATGTTTAGGGTGCTAGGGAAGTAATACACATTAGTGAATATAACACTGGAAATTCAAACTGTTGGCTAATGCATCTAGGAGAAAATAACTAAAACATACTTCTTTCAGGGAACAAAAACAAAACAAAACCAAAACAAAACAAAAAAGCAAACCCACACCTCGCAGAAATTAATCAACAGCTGCTGTTTTCAACCCTTTATGTTCTGCAGCCCCAAAAATATTCCACTGCAGCTTCAGCCTCCTGTAGATCAGATGACAACAGGCATCAGTAAATTTACTTTTCTTTGTGCTGTGTCCCCTTGAAGCCATCTGCCAATGCAGAGATCCACAGCCCCCCAGCTGAAAACCACGTAGCACTCTCAGAGCAGGGAAGGAATTTTGCTGAGGAAATGAAGCCACAAGTCTTCAGAGTCACCATATTGAAAAGACTTTATCTCCCACCTACACCTAACAAAGGAGAGATGTAGTGACACATTGGGTCAGTGCCCAGTGGCAGCCCTAAGCCCTCAGCATGCTGCTCCAGGCACTGGCTCACTCTTGAAAGAACTCTCAAGATCCAAAATACCCCACTGCTCACACTGCCAGGCTTTCCACACAACATAGGATTATATTTCCTGCATGGAATAGACAAATCCCCTTCACAGACCAGGTAGATAATAATCCTCCTCTACAAAAGTCTGATGGGATCATTCTTGATATATCATATTAATTTCAGACTACTTCAGTATTTGAAAAATGTAGATGTAGTGGAGAAAAGACAAGAACAATGGGAATTATTAAGGGTTTAAAACTGACTTGTGAGTTCACATTGCACTGGTGTGATATATGTGGAGCTCGGCTGGAAGTGACAACTGAAGTAAAGAACAAAATAGCTGCCTACAGGAACCTGTGTGTTAAATACAAAGAAGATGATGTATTTATTGCATTAAAAAGGTGATTCACTAAATGCAGCATGAGAGGTTTGGGTTTTTTTATTTTTTAAAAAAATGGAAGTTAAGTACTAAGCTTACTAAGCAAATCAGATTGATCTGAAAGTATTTTACTGTGAATAGCACATCAAGGACCAGACTAGAGGCATTTTAGAAATAGTATAAGATAAATAATTTCATGTATGATGGAGTTACTCTGTGATGTTAACTTTGTGATCAGAAAGATTAGGCAACCAAGCAAGATACCCTCTGCCTTTTAAGCACAGGTAATGACTTTTTTTCTCCACAAGAAATCCCCTACAAGAGGGGATTTTTTTAAAGATGCTTTGAAAGGCTCTTCTGCAAGGTTTTTCCTGTCAGACACCCTCCCAGATATTGTGCTGTTGGAATGGAGCCATGTTTGCTTCTCACTCACAGAAAGTCCACTTCAAGTTTGGCAGAGATGAGAGGGCCCAAAGGGAAATCACGGTAGCTCACACGC